TTATTATCAGCATAACAGGTTGGTTTGGGTTGCTTGTCCTCATGAACTTAAGTGTAACAAAACTAATTTCAAAACTCCTAACCACCTCCACACATTTTTTTTCTGCTGTTGCAAATGAAGTGGCTTGTGGGAGAAAAATGCCATGGGAAGACTAAAAAGGATCCTGCAGTCAGAAAGCCATCTGTAGTGAGAAAATCCAAAAATATCTGAGGCAGGTGCTAAGTACTGAGATGAGACCTCAGTTCAGGTCTGTGAATGTGGCATTGCTTTCTGAAGGCTATGAGCTTCTCATTTCCTCATGCTTCAGTTTGCCTGCCTTTCACCGTGTTACAGAGACTAATGTTTATAGAGTGCCCTGAAGTGTAGCCTGCTAACCACTATTGTTTACAGGAAGGGAGAAACAGAAGGAGAGAATTGAAAGGCCAGCTGCAAAGGACTTTTTTGTAGGGTTTGAATGCATGCATTATATAAAGACCAAAAAATTTAGAAGGTTTTTTTGTGGATTAATTATCCAATTCTTTTTTGTTGCAAAAAGAGGCTGGCATTATCATGAAGACTCAAAATACTTGAGACTTCTTTTTGGGCTAAAACCAGGAAAACTATGCCCTTAGCCTGTGAGCCTTTTTGCTTCCAGATCCAGAATGGAGCAGCTGGGAACTTTCTGCGAAAATGAAAAGGGAGGCAAGGATCTTTTCTGAACTTGAACAGATAATCCAGTTAAGTGTTGGTAGGAATTCCAGGTCTCTAATTGTTTTTTGTCCTCTGCTTTTCATGTTGTCTGCTTGTTACAGATTTCATGCCTGCACCTGTTATGGGGAGCCACTTCACAGTGCAGTGATAAGCCAGAGAGTCCATCAGTGGCTGCAAACCTTCCACTGCTGTGAGAAAGCTACATGTAGGAATTAGATTTGATTTAGTATACATACTTCTTCTGCCAAATTCACTGGGTTTTAATTAGGAACAGGACCCCCTACACCCTTGCAACTGATGTAGTTCAGCATACAATTCAAGCTGGTTTGCATGCTCTTTTCCAGCAAAAGGACAAACACAGCTCTTAGCTTTAAAAAGGGAAAGGAGGGGAACTAGGCAGCTGGAGGCATCACTTCTAACTTGGAGTGATAATATCTCGAATTATTAAACAATCGAGTTACGCACAAGAAAAATCTGACACAAATTTCATGAAGAAATCCAACCCCATGCAACGCTACAGGCTTGGGGAAGAGTGGCTGGAAAGCTGCCTGGCAGAAAAGGACCTGGGGATGTTGGTCGACAGCCAGCTGAACATGAGCCAGCAGTGTGCCCAGGTGGCCAAGAAGGCCAATGGCATCCTGGCCTGTATCGGAAATAGTGTGGCCAGCAGGAGCAGGGAAGTGATCGTGCCCCTGTACTCGGCACTGGTGAGGCCGCACCTTGAATACTGTGTTCAGTTTTGGGCCCCTCACTACAAGAAGGACGTCGAGGTGCTGGAGCGTGTCCAGAGAAGGGCAACGAGGCTGGTGAGGGGTCTGGACAACAAGTCTTATGAGGAGCAGCTGAGGGAACTGGGGTTGTTTAGCCTGGAGAAAAGGAGGCTGAGGAGAGACCTATCGCTCTCTACAACTACCTGAAAGGAGGTTGTAGCGAGGTGGGGGTCGGTCTCTTCTCCCAAGTAACAAGC